GCCAATGTCAACCTGTGACATTAAGTCAATAACGTACTTTAATAGTAAATCCTTCTTTATAATGCGTATTGTCACGGAATGCACTCAGGTGCCTCTTCTGGGTATCATGGGGCTGGCGCCCAGGATGTCTGCCTGGCTTAAACCCAATATAAGCTAGGCCTGCCCTCCGGTTGAGTGCACTCCTGAGGTGCGCCGCACGAACCACACTTCTGACCTTGGCGTTTCTGGAACCTTTGATATCCGCATCTCTCTTGTGTATTTAGCTGCAAGCTCCATGCTATACTGGCACAGACTTTTCTTTTCCTCTTTGTCGAATATTACAACTTTCACTAAGGCCTACCTGCGTGTATACCTTGTAGAACCCTTACACTGGGACAAACTATATAATGTGACAGCCTGATCATCTGTCGCAACTATATAAGACCACTTGAGCAACTGAACTGCCAACTTCAGTTACTTGTATCCTTTTGGAATATAGCCTACTGGTGTAGTGGTCCGCCAGCGCTATGATAATTATAAGCAATATTTAAGTAGGTAAATATTAACAACGCTACTTTTAAATTGAATAGTATACTATACTTATTATATGAGAACTATTTTGAATCGGGTTTTCAAAAGTTTTTATTTTTAATTATACTAACTTTATACTATATTAGTCAATTAACACTTGATCGGCCCGTTTATTAAACTTCTATTTGCGTGGAATATATTTCCGACGTTTATACTCTAAATACAGCTATTTTAATAGTTATAAATAAATCATACCATTAGAGTTAATATTATTTAATTTAGCAATTCGTATTTTAATTGAGTTTGTGATAGGGCAACTGAAGAGCTAGCGGAGTTTAGTAAATATACTAAACAATTACTAGAGCGATTTTTCTATAATATCAAGTAATAAAAATAATAGTGTTATATTACTATCAATTAGTATTATAATATTAGAACTCGCTTAGTTAGATTAAAATGTAGTAGATTAGTAGTATTTAGTACGTATTGATAGTAGTATTAATTTAATTAATAGTATAATTAACAATTTGTTTAATAAAGAAAATAACAAACTGGGGAAAGAAGGAAGGAAGGAGAGATTCTAAAAGTAGCGAAAATAATATATCAATACCTTCAAAATTATGATAATAACTCGTTACCTAGTCAAATACAATATTTTTTCTTATTAATAGTTACGCATTTATATCTAAGATTCTACTGCAAAGACTATATCATATACATTAAGAGGTATTTATAACAAAAATCCTATATATTACTGACAAAATAAATCTCATAAATCAAATATAGCATTATATTTACGTTAATTTGATATCCTTTTTATCCGTATTTAGTTTATTAACTAGAAGTTAAATTTGCTTTGCTTTATTATAATCTGATTTGTGTAGACTACTGCTCTATTCAGCAGGCGTATACTACAATCGTTATGTCTCCGAAGAAGTTCTGTTGGAAGTCCGTGCCCTGGACACTCCTTTCTAGGTATTTAGGCTGCCCTGGTTTCCGTTTCTCCTCTTCCGCAAAACAACAACAATCAAGCCCTTTTTCGTTGTCGTCTTTTCCAGCCCTCCGACAAGTTCGCAGCATTATATGAAACACGGTATGTGTGAACGGCCTCACCTGCACGCTAGCAGTGCCAACACACCACACATTTGACGGACTATGGACCAGCTTCTGTATAAGGGATAGACCCTTAAAGCTTCTTATTTTCAGGGGATAGCCTCTCAGCATAAAAAGAGTGCGATGTCACGGACAATCGGTCAGGCTGCTCCATCTTTCTTGTTCCTTCAAAGAAGGACATTCACCTCTATATCTCGTTTCCTACTCAGATATCACAGACATGGCGACAGCTCCTCAGCCCTCCCGGCATCTACCCCGCTCACTGCTGAAGTGGCTGAAAATTTGGGCATTCTGCCCGCGTCTCACTGGCATCATGATGAGGATGATGCAGGAGCCGATACTGATGATACCGCTTCCACCATCGGCTCCATTACCTCCAGTACTGCTTCTCTCTCCGAGAGCATTTTTGAATACCGGCAGGTCCTCGGCAGGACGTACCACAGGGATGTCGGCACTGCTGAAGCATGGCAACCAAACGATCCTCGTCACATCGAAGCTATGGATCTCTTCCATCATCTGCAGACGCTTATTCTGTCCGGGAAGCTTTTCCGTGCACCGCTTTCCAAGAGCATTCAAAAGTCATCCATATCGGAACCGGCACCGGTATTTGGGTAATCGACTTTGCTGACGAATTTACTGGTGCCGAAATCATCGGTACAGATGTCTCGCCCATTCAGCCTTCTTGGGTTCCTCCGAACGTCAAATTCGAAATCGACGATATCAACTAGGAGTAGACCTGGCCCGAACACACTTTTGACTACATCCACTCGCGCAGTTTGATTGGCATTGTCGAGGACTGGGAACGGTATTACCAGCAGGCCTTCCGTTGTTGCAAACCGGGAGGTTATGTTGAGGATCTTACCAACGGCGTCGTCCTGGACAGCGATGACGGAACTGTCAAGGAAGGCGGTGCCCTTCATCAATGGGGAAAGGTCTTTCACGAAGGCGGTAGGAAGCTTGGAAGAACCTTCAAGGTGATTGAGTTGGGACTGCACAAGAAGGCCATGGAGAAGGCCGGCTTCGTTGACATTGTGATTGAGGACTACAAAGTGCCCATTGGTCCTTGGCCAGAGGACAAAAAACGGAACGAACTGGGTACCTGGGCCAAGATTGCTATGGAGTCGGATCTTGAAGGATATGTCAACTACATCTGGGGATTCGTGTTGGGCTGGGCTCCGGAAGAGATCAGCCAATACTGCGCTGCTGTGAGGAGAGAACTGAAGAACCCCAACATCCATTCCTACTATAGGACTCGGGTGGCCTACGGCCGGAAGCCGGAGTAGGACAGGGAAGGATGACGCGGGATCATGGACGAGGATTGAGGAGGAGTCTGAAAATGATAGGCATGAAGTGCGAATGGGTGAGGGTCGAAATGAAAGGATTGATATATATATGTACTTTAAGTGCCGGTGTTATTTCAAAATTCGACTTCACATTGCCAAAGGCCCATTATTCTCACAGTGTTGTACCTGAACATAGAAACAATGTCTAAGCGGGAAAAAAGACGACAGTGCTCTCTATCTCCAACGAAAAGCAGGAATCCGACAAGAAGCACGAAGCGGTAGCATATGCGCCGGAAGTGCATATCCTGCAGGGACTATGGACGTTTTTATCTCTAACAAAGCAGAAGCGGACGGTCCAGGCTGTGATGTGATGGAGGGTAGCGGGGAGGCTTCGATTTGTTCTCGATTGTTTGGCGCCGCTGAGCTGAGGGCTAGCGGAGGCGGCTTTTGCAGAACTGGCAGATTTCCCTTGTAAGTACCACAACAAGTCACTTTGGTAGGAAGTGCATCTCGATGTTTCGTTTCCTGGAGGGTCTTCCAACTTCAAAGGTTGCGGGGAAGCCCCCCAGCAAGAGCTGTCACGCTCCGGCAACCCCGGACAAAGAGTGTGGACCGGCACCATGTGGAGACTCGCAGTGGTCGCAGATATGGAGTCCGAAACGTGAGGGTGGAGGAGTTTTTGACTCTGCCGAGACTGGGTTGGGGTTTCGATGTTCAGGCCTTGGTGAATTCACGCTTCAGAGCTTCCCGGCTTGACTTTCACTCGTGTTTGGAAAGCCACGAAAAACCTCCTGACATGTTGAAGGCCGCATGTGCGCTCTCGACATCCATGCTCAGCCCAGGCAGCCTCTGATGAAGTGGTGGTGGAAGTGGTCACGCAGCGATTCATAGACACCGGTTACGATTGATCACTTTCACAGGTGGTTTGAAAGCTGATGTCAGACATGTCGATAGGTTGTGTTCTTAACCCAGGGCCCAGTACAGAAAATCTGATTTACTTGAGGCAAGCCTCTGTAAGCTTCCCTAAATTTAATGTCTTAAGCGTAACCGCTTTGAGCCCTGCTTTTCTGTGCAGATGTTGTGTTTTCTGTTACGTTCTTCACGCGTGAAGACTTTGTCAACTGAGCCCCTTCAAATAACAGGATCTGGCAAACATTGAAGCAATTTTCCTTGGAAGGCCGCCATACATTGCTTCGTTGATCAAGTTTCCCCCATTTCAGCACAACTTTTCACTCCGCAAACATAGAAATGTGACCATAAGTCGCGAAACTGAAGGAATACAACTCTTGGAGCAATGAACAATGGGATCAACATGCTGGACGTTGATATCGAACACACAAATTCCATCTCGTTCCTGAACACCTCCACTTGACCTCGAAGATGGGATTGCGCGGATCAGTGATCAGACGCAGGGAAGGCTAAGTGTCCAATCAAAGCTTTCTTCCTTGCCAAGAACAGGCACCCAGGTCCCTGCCCCGCTATGTATCAGCCTGACAAGACGGGAGCGACCCGACAGCGGGCACTTGGCAACCAGCCTTGTTCCCGCCTTCTCCCAAACGATAACGCAATCCAATCCGTTCAACCTGGCGACTTTTTGACAAACACAACAATCAACATCTGGACCGGTATTCGGTCTGATGTCAACATAACCGACTCGGACATCTGTCATCCTCTATCCATAATCCATCGGGCTTTCATGGTTTCGCAGATTCTTCCGGCTGCTCTCCGCCGAGCTACATTTGCTTCTGTCCCCGACACGCCGAAGTCCAGACAACACCTTGCGCCAAGCTCGAAATCGCCAGTGCCGCCATACGAAACACCATCACAACCTCGCCATGCTCTCCGAGGTGATTGCTGGCTCCCTGGCGGAGCTTGCAAGTATGTACAGCCCTGCTCTTTGCGCCGATTTGGCTCCTGTGGATCATTGCTAACCTCACTGTTTCTAGAGAGAGATGAAGAAGATCCTGGGGGTAGGCCAAACCACCTCGACACGCACAGCGGGTTCACAGAAACTAATACGATGCAACAACAGCTGAAAACCCGACCAAGCAGGAGATGTACTCTGCAATGGCCATCTTCATCTTCATCCTGCTTCTCATGGCAGCCTTCTTCACGAGTTATATCATGCAGGAGAGGAAGATCCAGGCTGTCCACGAAACCGTTGTGTCTATTTTTGCTGGTGAGGATGCTACTCCCACACCTGCTAGTGCCATACTCCCACTGACTTAGCGAATATACCAGGTATGATTGTTGGCCTTGTCATCCGAATCTCCGGCAGCGACAACATCCAAAGCTTGCTTAGCTTCAGTCCGCAAATATTCTTTAACCTGCTGCTACCTCCGATCATCCTCTCGTCCGGCTACGAACTACACCAGGCGAACTTCTTCCGAAATATTGGCACAATCCTTACATTTGCTTTTGCCGGCACCGCCATATCGGCTGTTGTCATCGGCGTCTTACTATGGCTGTACACCAGGATCCCGCTCGAAGGGCTGGAGGTGACCTTTAGAGAGGCAATTCAAGTTGGCGCGTCTTTGTCTGCCACAGACCCCGTTACCATCCTGGCCATCTTCAACTCCTTCAAGGTCGACCCGCAGCTGTACACGGTTATCTTTGGCGAGTCGATCTTGAACGATGCCATTGCCATTGTTATTTTCGAGTCGGCACAACATGCAGAAGGAAACGGCACGAGAATCGGTGTAGTCAGTATCATCCATGGCATCCTGGTATTTCCTGAAGGAGTTTTTCGGCAGCTTGGCAATTGGATCTGTTGTTGGCATATTGGCTGCCGTACTCCTCAAGTTTACCTACCTCAGGCGATATCCTAAGATGGAGAGCTGCATGATCATCCTAATTGCCTACTCGACTTATTTCTTTTCACAAGCCATCCAGATGTCCGGTAAGACCTACCACTACTTATTCACATGTTTCAGGTACAAGTTCTAACCGTGCAACAGGCATCGTATCGCTGCTCTTCTGCGGCATCACACTTAAGCATTATGCTTATTTCAATATGTCACGCCGGACTCAGCTGACCACCAAGTTCTTTTTCCAAGTCATGGCGCAGCTATCCGAAAACTTCATCTTCATTTATCTCGGCTTGTCGTTGTTCACGGAGAAGAATTTGGTGTATCAGCCTCTTCTGATTATCGTCACTGTGTCATCGGTATGCGCAGCAAGATGGCTGGCAGTTTTCCCTCTGTCGCGACTCATCAACTGGTTTATTCGATACAGGGCTCGGCGCCATGGCAGGAAGCTGCGGATGTATTGCCTTATAACTATCAAGCCATGCTCTTCTGGGCAGGCTTGCGTGGTGCCGTCGGTGTGGCTCTTGCCGCGGCGTTCACTGGCAAAAGCAGATTTGCCTTGCAAGCGACCGTGCTTGTTGTCGTTGTGCTCACCGTCATCATTTTTGGTGGAACCACTTCCCGCATGTTGGAGATCCTCGAAATCAAGACTGGTGTGGTCGAGGAAATTGACTCGGACGACGAGTTCGATATCGAAGCCATTCACGGCGGAACTTGGCACAAGCGATCAGGTACAGGCATCGGGTTCAGCGCCCCTCATCGTGGATCAACGGTGCCATTGGGGAACCTCGATACGGAGAGGAACGGAAGTCCTGGCGGCAATGGTGGCAGGAGCGGGTGGGCTTCTGGACATCGGTCCCCAAATCCCATGCCGAGAAGACAGTCGAGCCGTCTCGATGTCAAGAACAGCAACGACCTCGAGAGGGTGGATTTGCTGGGAGTCTCAGGGAACAACACAGACTCTGAAATTGGTAGCGACATCGACACATCGGATTTGCCACCACCGGCCCCAAGAAGGAGACCGAGCCCGATACCAGGAGGCGGAGATGCTGATCTTGAAGCCGGACCTGGCGAGCGTGGCAGCGGATGGAATCGATCACCCTCTAACAACGAAGGTGGTCAGGGCCTCAGTGCCACGGCTGCTATTCGACAGCTCTTCAGCAGTGAAGATCCATCGGCGCTGTTTAGACAGTTCGACGAAAACTATATAAAACCGAAACTTTTACTAGACGGGGGACTAGGGGAGGACATGGTGGTCCCTCGGGGTCTGGCTAGGAGCGTAGAACCCGGCTAGAGTATCTCGTGAGTTCTTACAGCGAATGAAAGATTATTTTCAACCCGTTATGCGGTGGCTCTTCTCGTCAAGCACACACCAGTGTCTAAGCACCCCGGTTTTCATGGGCAGTGAGCACAAGAGACATGAGAACCGTTCAACACAGTCCGGCCTAGTCGATGCGGTTTCAAAAAATGCACTGCCCACTCGACTGCTGGCCGGGCTGAAGCAGTCTTTGTCTGGAAAAACGCCTTGTATAAATATTATCCTGGTTAAGCCGTTGTTACGCAAGCAGTCTGACGAGGCTCGAACCCCTGAACACCTGAAAGAACAAGGCCACAGCGTGTAGGTAACGCCCATTAACTAATTAAAGCCATGGAATCCAATCCCCTCGTGGCTTGAACAGGATCCACTACTATAAAAATTGCGCCGTTGCCAATTCCGTGCCCGTCGAACCTTCTGAATATTATGTTGTTTGGTGGTTTGCATATGACTCGTTTTCTAGCAAGACTCTCCCTGAAAGTCTGTTTCAAATCGCATGGCCGCGCGTTGCGGTCCCAACCGACTCGTCGAAGAGATGCTCGGAAAGATTTGGAGCCTGCACTGCCTCGTTTCCAAGAACGATCTCACAACCAATGGAAATCGGTTTGGCATGTCAGAGGATCAACACCAGCTTGGGACTCTGCCGCTCCTGTCCTCGCCCTCTTTCTTTCACTGCCTCTCTGTCAAAAGCGAGACTAAAGCGAAATACTAAGCTGGGTCCGTGAGAAGATGTACCGAAGATTTAGTAAATCGCGGCCCTGAAGAGCATGACTTGATTGGAATGCGGCTCACTGGTGACGTTGACGTTCTCTGCAAGGCGGGCGGGCCGTTCTTGGTGCGCCTTGCAGCCCCCTTGCTGTTTTGTGCATTTCTGGTGGATCCTGGTCACATTCCTCAGCCTGCAGGGGCATCACGACAGGGAGTTCCAGCCCTGTTGGAGGAGCTACAGCCGGGGAGTGGAGCGCGGGGTTCCTGCCCACTTCCTTGTAAACATGGAGCCCGTGGCCTGGATGGGATTCCACTTGGCGCCTGGTCATCAGGGCGGATTCAGGGAATGGCAGGGGGCGGCGGGGCTTCATCTTGGGCTTCCATCTGATCTTCTGGACTTCTCCTACTTTCGTTTATCCATTCTTCCTTCTCTTGCCAACACTCTGAAGGTCGAATGTAGGCGGTCTTCAGTTCATCCTTCCTCGACAACGAACCGGAAGCTACTTAACCTTGAACACGAGGATCAGTCCAAACACACTCCCTACGTCTGTCAGGATTACATCACTCCAAGAAACTTGTCAGATTTCACCTGTCGATACCTCGAGGAGCAGTTTCACCCACCGAGTGAACCAAATCGCAATACCGTGTCTAAGAGATTGATACCTTGCTTTTCAGCAGGGATCTGTATAAGCCAGTCGCCCGAGACACCTCAGACTTACCATTTCCCCTCCGATCGGCGATGCTCGACGAAAACTTTCCCACCTTCCGCTCGCGCCCTTCTCCGGACAAACCGCTCTCTTCCATCCTCTTCTTCACGCAAAATGGCGCCGACCCCACTCCCGAGTACATCCTCCGACGGGCTGACCCGGCCCTTCCGGCCTCGCGCAACAAGTATGCCGCCGCCCTCTGCGGGCCCTTGAACGCCGACGTCATCTACGCCGAAGTCCTCGTCACGCCAGAATGGTCACAACCCGCCGTCTCTGGCGCCGAGATGCGCGCCCAGGCGCTGAACGGCGCCCCACCTGCCCCCGCGACGGCGCTGGTCCCGGAGACCTTTGCCATCCAGCTGTACAACCCAGACTCGACCGTCGCAATCAAGATGGTTCCAGGCACGTGGAACAAGACCGACTCCTGGGAGTTTGAACTTCCGGTCCAGACGTTCAAGCAGCCTTCGGCCAGCGAGCTGGACAGGGAGAACGGAGGACTGCCGCCGCCGGACCTGATGCCGAGGGTCATGTTCAGGTGGAAGAAGGACAGCAAGCTGAGCAAGGATATGACGTTGTATATGTGCGGAAAGAACTTGGAAGGGAGGAGAAATAAGGAGCCGGATATCACGATTGCAATGTTTAAGACTACCACGCGCAAGGATGGGGAGAGTGTGGTCACCATCTACCAGCCGAATCTGCACCGGGTGGAGGTGGAGGATCGGAAGGGGTTGGAGCTGGTACTGTTGCTGGGAGCCGAGGTGATCAAGGACTTATATCTGTCTCCAAAAGCCGATGTGTTCAATGTTGGAGGAGGGGGATCTCCCGTTGGAGTTGCGAGCAGGAGGAAGAACTCGAAGCCTACCAGCGCGCCACCAGGAATTCCCATCATGTCTGGTGCCGTGGTGACCAATGGTGGTCCATCAGGGGCGGCAGCATCGTTCGTGGCTGCGAACGCGATCCGTCATCCAGATACTATACCGGTCACTGCTTCAAGTGTGGCGAAAGCTGGGTCATCAAAGGCAGATATCGATGCTGAAACGCAACGGTTGAAAGCAATGGTTGAGCGCGAGGAGCACGAGCGACAAAAGAGGGAAAGACAAGAGCGAGAGAGACGTGAACAAGAAGAGCAACAGCGTATCAAGAGGATGCTCGAAGAAGAAGAACAACGCGAACGTCAACGAAGAGAAGCAGAGATAGCGGTCGAAACGGAACGGTTGCGCAGAGAGTACGGAATGGAAGGGCAGGAACTCCCATCAATCATCCACTCCCCTCCAGCTCCTCAGAACACAGGCACTTTCAGTAGCCCTGCCCTCCCGCCACGGCAAACCTTCCAAAACACACAACCTCCTCCCCATCTTTTCCAACAGCCAAGTCAGGGCCAGCTGTCGCCAACCACAATTTGGGGAGCCGCTCCCTCTCTGCCTCCGCGGCCCCTTAGTGCTGGTCCATTGGGGCATCACAATGTGAGCGGTAGTATTAGCAGCAGCAGCAGGCCAGGGCCGTTCCACTGTGATAAGCTGAACAAAGTGTGGAACGGTGTAGTGGTGCCAGCTCTTGACCGTGGTTCCGGAACTCCAGGGCCCGGTAGTTCGTCGAGGAGGCGCAGTAGTGGTGCGGCGTACTTGTCGGCAGATCAAAATGGCAGTGGGAGGTATGGTTATAGCCAGAGTTCGGTCGGTTTGTCTGGTGGTGGGACTGGGAGCTCAAGTGCGACGGGGAGGGAGAGGGAAAGGGACAGAGAGGAAAGAAATAGGAAGATTGCGAAGAAGAAGAGTGCGATTTGGTAGGCAGCTCAAAGGGGTGTGGATATGAGGTTTGTTATGAGCATATGGGAGCTGGTTCATATTTGCAATATCACATGTGTAAGGAGTTGGTTGGCGTACTGTAGCATCTTTCATACATTAAGACAACGAGCTGTTGCGTTGAGCGTGGATCTAGCTGCGGGGAATTCGATATCATTATAGCATAATGAAGGCAGATTTTGTGGATAACCAGTTTCCGAATGTGATGACGTTCGTTCACGAATCGCTTCAGCGACTAAACTAAATATTATGACGAGAACCAATATCAGACAACGATGCCTATCTATTTACGGAACGCACAACTGTTGCCATGTACTGGCAAAGACACGCTCCGGGTGAGCCAGGCCTCAGGGTCAACCAGAAACGTGGATGCGACAAAAGAGGTGAAGCAGCTGGGCTTGCCGACTCTCTAAGCAATGGAACGTCTGATCAAAGCTTCATGCCAGTAACCGGACTGTTTCATGATATGCACAAGGATGCGATGGCTTTCATGGAGGCTGGTATAGTGTTCATCCTTACCTATGTCCGAATGGCCTACGTAAACAGCCTCATGCTCCCAAGCTTGTCTGCATACGAATGGAGGAGTTGAGCCCTTGAGGAGGTGAAGCCATTCGCAACCCTGTTGTACCTCTCAGAATAACGTAGGAAGAAGCCCAGGGGAGAAGGGACAGGTCAAGATTCCTTGGGCATATATTGTACTACCAAGAAAGCTTTCTTTTTGCGTCAACTGGGGAGCGTGTACTAAAAGGAAACCCCCCCACATCTATTCATACCATCTCTCATTGCCATGTCCATCCTATATCCCTTGAACCTACCTACCCGTCCCGCACGTTCCCTTGCGTGCTTTTGCTTATCTTCCCACGCTTCCCCGGCCTGTGAGCCCGCAACCACTGAGGCGGGTAGCGCACCGTAGCGGTAGCGTAGTGACACGGGATGAATGCGGTTCTGTCTTTTAAAAACTTTGAAGGGTTACGTAGTTGGGATAAATAGTTGACAGTAACGGTCTGCATCCCGGAGGATGGGAGCTTCTCGATCAGTAATCAGTCTGTTCATTGAGTTAGGCTCTCCTCCTTTGAAGGATCAAAGACTTGATAATTTAGCCGTCATTCCCATCGTGAAATTCATTCTGGCCTTCAACTTGCGTAGTCTTGACAATATTGCTCAGGCCGCAACGTCATGGTTCGGGCAGAATCCCACCGGAAGATATTGATGAGCAAGACACAGAAAGGACGGGCAACATGGGAATATAATATCCCACCACCACCGCTGTTAATCGTCATGCCATACAACGTTGTGTTCGGCTCATGGAGAGCTATAGTGTATTAAGTTAACGGATATTGGCAGCCCGACTACGACAGAAAGGGTGGGATCGTTCTGGTCGAATTTCCGGGTCATGATTCATTCGAATAGGACTCTCCAAGCAGATTTGTCGTCGCTTGTAAACCAGCTGGGCAAAGCTCCCAAGCTTTGTAAAATCAAGTTTTTGATATACGCCGAGCGGGGAAAGAAGAACAAGAAGACTTGGAAGTAAGGTTTTATGTCTTGAGCGATATACGCACCTGGAAAAACCAAAGATGAAGAACGGAAATGCCGACCGAGTGATATTATTGTTGGTATGTGCCTGATAAAGGGGAAAGGGAAGATTTTATTCAATGATACTCCATGTGGACAAATGAAAAAAGAGCCCACAAGCTGATGCAGTAGCAAAATCGCCTTTCCCTTTCGGACTCCTCCCGTAATGGGGTTTATGGGATGGTATTCCCAGCTTCAATGCCCCCGTCGCTCCATCCAAGCCAGCCTGCCCACGTCACCACCACTTGAAAAATGGCGGACTGAAAGACTCCAGCTGTGCCCCTGACAGGAACATTACTGCGTAGGTAGGTACACGCCCGACAGAAGCTTCCCGTCGTCTGGTAGTCTACACTTACAGCGTCCGGCATGGTAACCTCGACCACTGCAACTGCAAGGCAAAGCCGGGAGAGTAACTCATCACCAAACAAGATTCGAGATTTGAGGTTGGAGAAAAGGAGTGGGGCACACGCACTGGAGGTAAGCTCATAAGGTACCTCTCTGAGAAACGTCCAGTACGGAGCAATATCCGGACAGAACCCAAAAGCTGCAGCACAGTGCACCATCAACACCTCAACATTCCCATAGATAGTGTACCTTTGTACCTTGAGGTTTTGGGTCAACGACCGGGCGGCGCACAATGCCCAAAAGCCAACCAAAAGACTGAAAAGACCGCCGACTGAAAGCAACTTGTGAACGATTTGACCAACTTTGGGCGCTAGTAACGGTTTGGGCAATAAATGGGGTGCCACTCGATCGGCCACCCGCCAGACACGTTGCGACCACCTGCCTGACTGGCCACGAGCTGGGCAAGAACTGGGACAGGCGAGCGGCTAGCAGCTGCGGGCGGGCAATGGGCCACTGCACCTGAAGTGCTGTTGCTACGCACAGGCACTGCACACCTCTAACACCAAAAGGAAAGCACCTGCCGCCCGAAGAACCTCACAAGTGGAAGTGCCCCTGTTGTGTGGGAGAGACGCCCGCCCGCAAGTGGAATCAATATCTACCATAGCGCGCCCGGTCTTGACTGTGATGCCCAGACGGTGCGGGAATGGGAAGGATACTTCTAGAGGTAGACAGTGGCAGAAGAGCAAGTTCGTGATCTCCAACACACTGCACCACTGAACGCACCACGCACCCGCGCAGGCACCACACAGCAACAGCATTCAATCGCTGCACTCAATTCAACATTTGCATGTTTGGACCAAAACATCCACAACAATCGATCCAACTCCACCACCGCGACAAGGACATTGAACTATTCAAGAGAGTTGCACTGTCCACATCCCACTGTCACCACCGGCCGGTCTTCTCTCCCTAGTCCATTGTCTAGCGGGAGGTGTTTGTCATTCATTTACTACCTCTCCCAAGGTCTAGCCGGACTCCATCCGGCCGATTTCATCACACTTCACGACACAGGACCCTGACCGACCGACGAGACGACAAGTTGCTTGTCAATCAGACTCGATCCAAACCCGCCTCCCGCTTCTCGTACCCGACACTTGCTGTTGCTCCCAGCGCCGTAATTCTCGCCAAACATTGCCCGCTGCTTGTTGCACGATCCGGCCAACGTCTTTTTTACTGCAACCTGCCAGCCAAGCTTGGAAAGCCCACCGCTGTTGGCCTAGTGGCAGCTCTACCCGCCCACTCGCGCCTCCTCCTCCATCCTACTCGTCGCGGAACCGCTCATTGCGCTTCCAGTCGCTGGGAATCGAGGCGCTCCTCTTCGTTTGTCCATACCAGCAGGGCTCCTCCGCTCTTCTGTTTCCCCCGCATGTCGATCCGGACGACGCAGCGCCCATCGCTGATTCCCGCCTCTCCGTCCTCGAGCCTCCCATAAAGAACGACTTCAGCGTTTTCTGTCTCCTGCCGCCGCAGCCCCGGCTGTGGAGGCCCGGCAATTCGCGAACATGAACTTCGACTCGGGCACCGCGTACGCTGAGTCGGACGCCGACGACGAGTACGAGCGCGATATTCATGGAAGCTCCCCTATCGATCACACCGACGTCGAACACTCACCCATCGACTCTGGCCCCCCCTCGGCCGAACACACCCCTACAACCTACGGCTACCGAAATAGTGCAGATAGACACATAGAAACCTTGATTTCCGACTGGTCTGCCGACGACTGCGCCGACTTCATTGCCTCGATTGGGCTACAGCAATACGCGGATAGATTTATAGGTCCGTTCCCATAACCTGAGCAAATGGTTGCGTATGGCTCTGACTTCCGCTAACTCTACGCGCAGAAACGAAATTGTGGGAGAGGCCCTGGTCGCGTTACAACATGATGATCTCAAGTCGATGGGCATTACTAGTGTTGGCCACCGCTTGATGATCCTGAAATCCGTCTATGATGTGAAGAAGGCTCAAGATGTTCCCATCGAGGACGACCACTACATGCCTCTTAGTACGTGTCGCGCCCCTTTACCTCGTGCAGTTCTCGCGTGCTAACAAGCTGAACCCTGAAGCCGCCGCAACCGAAGCGCTATCCGCAAATGCCACGCTCAACGATATTAAGCACCTTGCTGAGCAGTTGCGTCTGAGAGACGAGCGCATGAGCCTCTTTGAGCAAGACCTGCGCCGGTTAACCGAAGACTTTAGGAGGTTACGGGAAGATATGCTACCGGCGTTGCGGCTCGCCAAGGATGCTCAGCAACCGCTACCGAGCGGACCGTCATACGAATCAACTCTGTCACCGCCGGCTCCAGCCTCGGCGACGGGTGGCCAGCCGAGTGCCGGGCTAAGTCGGCAATATTCCACCAAAAGAATCATGCTTGGGACAACGCCGAAAGCAGTCTCCCCATCTCACCTTCAGACTTCCCACGGCCCGGCATATGACTCTTCTGCAACTAGTAGAGGTATGCTGTCGTCGACTCATCTTGGCGCCATGAACGGGTCTAGTGCGAACACTACATCCGGTGGTTATCCGTCACCGAACATGCCATCACCTACCTCACCACCCACCAACAACATGTCAGGCACTACTCTTGATCCGAGATCTTACCGCGGTGATAACCAACCCCCATCATCGAGCCGATCCACGTTTGGCGATAACGATCACTACGGTTCTCAAGACAAAGGGCCTGTGTCCGCTCCCCGTAGAGGACAGACGCCGGCACCTGATACCCCTGGTTCCGCGAGCAACGCATCCGTTGAGATCTTCAAGTCGTTTAGGGTCAGTATGGATGACCCTTGCTACAAGGTTCTTCCAGCGGCGCTCAAAAAGTACCAAATCAACGCTCCATGGGATCAGTACGCTCTGTATATCGTATATGGCGACCAAGAACGGTGTCTTGGACTGGACGAGAAGCCTCTCATATTGTTCAAGCAACTGGACAAGGAAGGGAAGAAGCCCATGTTTATGCTCAGGAAGACAAACAACGCTCCAGCTGAGGAACAACCTGGGAGCGCAGGACTATCGGCTGCGGCTCGTGGGACGACGACCGGGTATGATCCACCGGGAGGTATCATATAAGTCAATAACAGGTAGATGGTGATACTGTGACGGCGTTAAATTGGGCAGTTTATCCGAACCTGTCCACTATTCGAACCGAACTGTCAGGGTGTCTGTCTGGGTTGCACAGCTTTTGCATATCGTGGCGGAGGATTGTGCTGTGAAAGAAGCCCTAGCATAACTGAGGGTCCGTTGGTCGAGTGGCAAATGTCCATGAGGAGAACGGGAAAGCTGAGTCGAGGCTCAACGATTCAGTGTAATGGGCAGACGGCTTGACAGCCGTGAGGAGCGAGTGGAAAGGCAACCATTAACATGGAACTCCAGCCTTCTATACACAACAACCCAAAGAATTGCCTGTATATGAGGATGGTAAGCCAGTTACCGTTGCCTATTTTGTGTATCTTTCCTATTTAATTCGCGGGCGGCATGGGAAACGGGGAAACGGGTTGGAGAAACTAACTAACTGCGCAAGGGAGGGGGGGAGGGGACGGCCCGGGGAAGGCGAATTTTGTAAACTCAATTTCATCCGAAAGTGTGGTCCACACAAACTTTGAAGAACAACACGTCTTGGTCTTAAATGTGCTTGGAACATCTGGTTGAAGGATCAGGAGAAGGAGGAAGCCGTGATGAAGAGGGGACCAGGTTAGGGATGGGGGTCAAGTGGGTGGTTTAAGAAAACTTTTGGAACTTCTTGTGTTATTTATTTATCATTTTAAGTGAAGAGATCACGAACTCTTTTGTTGGGTGAAGGCTCTAGACTATGACTGTGGTATTCATGCGATGGTAATGTTTATCTTGAACTCGCAGGCGTTTCATGCTGTTGATCCAACACTATCTTCGAAGTCCATCCGGGCGGAGAACATTGCTCAATACCTCGAGCGCGGAACAATATGCTCAAGAGACACTTCGCCGAGACCGTTCATCCCAGAGATCATAACTAACGCCATGAAAGCATAAAATCGAGAAAACCGTGTAGTTTGCTCTATTTTTACCCAACCTCGTATTTTATATAGCAAGCAAGTTACATCCTCCATCACCTACACCATCTCCCCCAACTCAACAACCATCACGAGTCAGTCTAGACATCCTAGTACAGCGCATTCCCGGCCTTGATAAAGAAAGAGAAAACTGTTCCTAGGCCGGCCATCCACACCAAGCTGCGCACAGGCGCAAACTTGCGGTTGTCCTGCAGGAAGACATAGACAATGTTGTACACCAGCCTGCTGACGAGGTAGAACAGCGAGAGCGTGTTTAGCGTCTGGACGGGCACCTTGGCGGCGTTGGCGGCCACAACACCCGCGGCGTAGAGCCCAATGGTCTCGAGGCCGTTGTTGGCGGCGGCCTTGGCGCGCAGGATGCGGTTTACTTGAGACTTGGGGATGGAGGCGTCTTTGGCGAGGTGTTCCTCGGTTTTGCGGGGGCTATGGTACAAAAGATAAGGTTAGATTTGTGGTGATGTGATGATGTTGATGATTGCTCATTGGTGATTTGGGTGGGTTGTAGAAAAGAGGAAGTGGGTATCGAATGGGATGGATGGCTGAGAGGGTGAAGAAAATAAGGTGCTGAGAGGAGGTAAGATGGTGGAGGGACGGAAACGGGAAACTTACTTGGCTAAGTCATAGTTCTTGCCGGCAGCGAAGCTGGCGTAGAAGTTGGGGAGGAGGGCGAGCACGAAGGCCGCGGGGATCTGGTAGCATGGAGTCGTGTTAGTAGATCTGCTGCGTGGGAGATCATGGTCTTCTTCATCTTCTTGGACATGTGTTGTTTCTGCTCGAAGATACTGAAGTGTTTCAAAGACAAGGCATATTGTCCTCTTCACATGCTCGGTAAGGGGCAAAGTAGCTACATACCGAGTGGAGAGACCAGTTGGACGAAAGATCAAGAAAGGAAGCCATTGTGATAGAGTTGATGACGAGTTATCTCGGATTGGTGTGTTTTGAAGGTCGTTTTGGTGCTTTTTTGGAACTGAATGCTATGAAGTACGAAAACAATGTTCAGGTAATCGGAGAGGACAGAGACACTTTATATTAAGAAGACCTCGGCGGACCTTACATTGTGAGGAGGGGTTCACGAACAGCTTCGATGACGGAAGAAGCTTGTGTGGGGCGACCCACAGTCTGACAGGGGTACATGGTGGAACGAGCTGAGGGAAGAAGGATCGATCCACTCGGTGCTCCATGCCCCTTGCGGCCCAGAATAGCTCCCTTCCCTTCTTTTGACATTTTGACTGCTTTACTCCCGTCCTCCCGCCCCATGCGCCTCATGAGCCACACCAAATCAACCGGCTACCAACTGGCGAGACACAACCTGAGATCAGTAAACAGAAATCCTAGGCGCTGTGCTGAAACATTTAACTTTTGCCCGATGCAGAATGTCACCTTAATTAGACTTGGGGATTTTGCGCGGGACCAAACTTGACATCATGTTCGACGAAGGCGTATCCAAAACGCACGGCTGATTACAGAACCCAAATTCAAGGAACGAGTATTACATATGGGATTCATTGGACTTGGCAGCGCTATCAGCAGACGAGATGCCTGAGACACCTAGATTACTCAACAATAAGTCGGGCACAGTCTCGATCGCGACAAAGCATAGCAGCCTCCTTACATGGCAGTTGTCCCGAGAAACATCAATCGTCTCTCCGCAAAGGCCCCCAAGTTTCATGAACCAAATCCGCTTTTATTTCTCTACCAACAAACAAATTTTGAAAAAATACGCGGCGTGGCGTGTCCGTCTTGGATATAAGCCTGGGGAGACAGACACGCATCAACTTCACCGAACATCCTCTCTTCTGCCCTCTCCTCATTCTGTAGCGTCCCCATCTTGTCATCAACCTTTTCCCTCCCTCCGCCCTTCCTTCTATTCTTGCTTCGCCCACCTCCTTCTATCACTGAGATAGAATAGGTATCCGTACGTTCCACGTGTTTGAGGAAAATGATGCGCCCATGTAGAAGAAAAAGGCATGGAAAATAACACCCATTTGGTAATACCTATAACCCCTTTCCGAATTTGCGCAAACGTAGATTGTGAGCAAAGTAGAAGAAAACCCAGGTAAATTTGCGGCGAGAATGCTCTTACTGCATTGGAGGACATTGCCTATCCAAAGCAGGGACTAGATCGCGCGAGGGGTAACTGAGTCGTGTGATCGCTTGTGACTCCTTTGAGGGTGGAATATTTCTCTTCAAAGTCATTGGGGCTGGCAAAACGTGAGCAGGGCAACATGAGCCATGCACCATGCTTTTCGGAAGAGGCTTTCCGGCGATCGTGAAAAGCTGACGGGATGTCGTCTAGTGAACAAATTAGTAGGCACGGTTGGTGCCACGACGGCCCTTGCTGGGGACAGTGACGGTCGTCCAGCCATCATCTTCCTCAGCAGCAGCGGGAGTAGCGGGGGCCTGCTCAGCGGCGGCAGCCGGGGCAGCCTGGGCGGGCTGGGTGGCAGGAGCACCGCCGTTAGCACGAGGGCCACGGCCAGAGTCGCTACGAGGAGCGCGAGGAGCACGATCAGCGGGGGCACGATCGTTGCGGCGAGGTCCGCCAGGAGCGGCACCAGCACGGGGTTCCCTAGGAGCAGAGCGCCAGTTACCGCTCTCGGTGGCTCTGGTCTTGGGAGCCTCGCGGGGCTCACGAGGCTCACGGGTCTTGGCGGGGACCTTCTGATCGGCCTCACCGTTGGCGGGAGCAGCACCGGGGGACTTGACCTCCTCCTCAGCAGCGGGGGCGGGGGTCTCCTCAACGGGCTTCTCAGCCTCAGCCTTCGCCGCCGCAGCATCCGCTTCAGCCTTCTCGGCTTCGGCCTTCGCAGCGGCCTCCTTGGCGAGGCGCTTCTCCTCCTTAGCCTTTTCGTCGGCCTCCTTCTTCTCCTTCAGAGCCTGGAGGCGCTTCTCCTCGATCTCGCGTTCGCGGGCGGCAGTGTCGATAGGGCGAGCGGCACCGAAGGGGCTGGCCTTGGAATCAGCGGAAGGGGTCGATCCGGCCTCGGGGGCTTCAGAGACGGTTCTCTTGGTGAGGTTGAGCTTGGGGCGGCCAACGGGAAGGGCAGCCGAGGGCGCGGGAGAGTTGGGAACGCTTCCTTCACGAGACTCGGTGGCAGGGCGCATCTTGCTACGCCATTGGTTGTCCTGCTCGGCAGCAGTAGGAGCGCGCTCGGGACGGTCGCCAAACTCGCGGCGGGGAGGATGGGAAGTATCTTGACGACCCTCACCAGGGCCCCAAGCAGCGGGGGAAGCCCTCCTGTCGTTGCGGAAAGACTCGCCACGGGCTTCAAGGGGACGCGAGCGAGAGGAGTCTCTGATCTGCTCAGTAGGCTCCTGAGGGGGGAGGGGACCACGCCTCTCCCAATTGCCGAAGTCGCGCACCTTGCCATCGTCGGCAGGGGCAAACTCTCTGGGGGCTCTGCGCTCGCCAAAGTCACGCTGGGGACGGTCACGTCCGGGCAAGTCGGCGAGGGGACCCTTACGCTCCCAGGTAGGAAGGTCGCGACTGGACTCCATCCTGTCGCCGTATCCCTGCTTGGCTGTAAGGTTGTCAATACAATATCAAACGTGGCAGATCAATAATAAGGTGGCACATACGGGGATCGGCAATCTTGATGCGGATGCTGCGACCGTCGAAGGTCTCTCCATCACGGGTCAAAGCAGTCTTGAGACCCTCGACATCCTTGAACTCGGCATAGGCAAAACCCTTGGGGCGTTGGGTCTCGCGATCCTCGATGATGCGAACGTTCACAACATCGCAGCCCTCAAAGAACTCGGTAACGGTCTCGGCGGTCGCATTGTAAGAAAGGTTGCCGAGATGGGCGGTGAAAGGAGGGCGGGTAGGAAGCTGGGCCGGGCTGATGTTGTCGCGGATGGAGGAATAACCTATCATAAACTCTAAAGTCAACACAGGTTTGGGCCGACTAGTTGTTGGGAGGTTGACGAACCGCGGTCAGCATAGGAAGAGCCACCACCATACGTGGAAGGGCCGCGACGCTCAGCAGGAGGGAGAGGCTGGGTGCCGGAGGCTAGACGTATGTTAGCAAAGTAATATCACAATACGACGGAGAGAAGGCGTTACTTACCATAGGTGTCCTCGACCTCGTCAGCCCAGGAGCCGCCGAAAGCTGTACGACATGTCAGTCATGTATCTCATCAAGCGACAGGAACGCAGTTGACATGCCACCCGGCTAGGCGTGTTGGTGCCTTGGCGTAGAGGGGGAGGGGTGAACTCACAGGGCTCGTTCAAAAATTCGCCCAGAGAAAGCTTCTGGACTTCCTTCTTCTTGGGAGCTGTTGCAAACCCGAATCAGCATGTGACGCCAGTGAGAAGACGGTAGGACCGTAGCGTCACGGATGGGCGCGAGGTATGGTAGGTTGGGGTTGAAGTTGTCGACGGAGTCATGGGAACGGTGACGGTGACGGTGATGATGATGTCGTCGACGGTGGTGGTGCTCACCCATGATTGCGGTTTTTTGAAAGGCCTACGTGCGACAGTCGATGGTCGCAAGCGTAGACGAGGGGGTGGTTTGCCGGAGAGGAGTAGTCTGGCCGGCTGGGTTGATGGTAATGGCCTCGAGGTGATCCGAGAGCGATGGAGGAGGAGGAGGAGTGCCGAGTACTTCGCAGCTGTGGTACCGACAAAGTGGGAGGGAAGGACGAATGGTAGACGAGGATGGGGGGGTCGCCGTTGGTTCCGTCGTGATTTCCCAAGTGGATTCAGGATTCGGCGTTGCGGGCAGGTCGACAAAAAATTCGTCTTTTGATAGAAGGTGGAATCCAGTGGAGGGTTAACATTTTTTTGCTCGGCATTGAGTGGGCAGGTGGGCTGCGTGGGCAGCTGGTGGGTGAATGTGGGAAAGTGCGTAAGGGTGGGCGGTGTCATGGTCGAGCTAGTCCGTATGTAGCTTAGCGCATGTCTACTTACGCACCTCCACCTTCTTGACTTCAACCTTCGAGACCTTGAAAACCTGCGCGCTAGCAGAGGGTTCAGTGGGTGTTCTTGTGCGCAGAGAGCCCTCAGCTGGTGCCGCTTTTGGGACTTGCCCGCCCCGACCTTCGGTTCCTTCTCTCGCACCCCTCTTTGCGGGCCGTCATGCTGGGCTCCCCGCTATCGCTGCCCTGTGGCCTGTGCCTTCCACTTGTTGCTCCCCCTCACGTCCTCGAGCCGGATCCCTTTCTCCAAAGTCAAATCTCCAACTCCCGTCCTGCCTTGATATTCGAGACTTCAAGGCTGGGTTTCAGTAACGAATATTCCAAGCACACAATCCTACCGTACCCAATGCGCCCTGGGTGAAGCCCAATCCTTTGTTTGGGTAGTTGACGCACTCATTTGACAGGCCTAGAAGCTATCATCCGAGGTTCACAGCACTCGGCAGATCAGACTCAAAGAGAAACCAGACTCGAGTAACCTCATTCCCTAACTGAAATGAAGAAAATTGTGGCTCCTGTCCCCAACCAGGCGTTGGGTGACAATGTAAACAGTGCACAGATGCCAACTATTTCAGATAATGCGACCAAAGAACAGACGGGCGACCAGGCTCCTTCCTTTTCTAACACACGGCCGAATACACCAGTCCTCGGTCCTGCATTGAAACTTGGAGCCGGTGTTGGTGTGTTGAGCCCAACGTTACTAAATCATTTTTTACAGCCGATGAACTGACATTGTCTGTTAGGAACTCTGGGTCTCCTTACTGGAGCTGCAGCTGGTATCATACGCTCGGCGCCCGTTGGGTTATATGCGGCTACAACTGGTATTCAGTGGTTTGTCCTGAGTTCCACTTTCTGTGGTATGTAGTCCTCTATTTCTCTATATCAAATCTGATGTGTGCCATGGTATTAACCTCCTCCAGGCTCTCGTCAGTTCGCTACAAATTCTTTGACGAAAGGCACCGATATTTTGTCCTCAAAAGACAATCTCATAGCAACTAGCGGTGCCGGCGCATTTTCGGGAGCAACGGCGGGTTTACTTCGTAAGTTAGACCAGGCGTCTTGCAAGGAGCAGCAACATAGCTAACAAATATCGCAGGCGGACCGAGAAATGTCATACCGGGTGCCATCATCTTTTCATTGCTCGGCCTAGGTGGTGCGGCTCTTCAAAACAAGCTCAAGTCGAGGGAGCAGTCAGAGAGTTGGTTCCGCAAAGTCATTGACGGGAAATGGAGCCCCATCACCCGCATCACTAACGAAGATTGGGAGAGGATACTTGAGGAGAAGCTGCTGCGAGTTGAGACAGAGATTGCCGTCTTGGATGATTCGATTGCAGAGCTGCGCAAGAACGAAAAGAAGACCTAGTGTCCGTGGTGCGCTTTGTATTATGGAGGATTAATATATCACAAAAAGCTCCGGTGTTCGCACCTATACCCAACAGTAGCTAAATGGATTCACGGACATCACATGCACAAGTTCAAATCTCTTACACACTCGAGAGCGGGAGCCTCAAATGTTTATCCTGTGTTTATGTAGCCCAAGCTTTCAGGGGAAGTTCTTGGCATTTGTAGATTCATAAAGAGGAAACCTTGTGGAATATGAGGCCAGGACTCCCCAGAATACCCCCATATATGATGGGCAGCACAAAGTTGCCTTGATCATATACACTAGAGCTTAGACATTCCCCGTCGCGATGTTTGATCAACTTGAAGTTCAAGGCATACGTGCAGTACGCTGACGACGGTCTCGGAAATAGGCCAGCAACACTTTGAATCTGGCGGGAGTGAGCGGGAAGCAAGCGAGGTGTACATATTTATATGGTGGATCGGTGTCCAATAAATGAGCGAGCCCATCGGCAAATGGATGCAGTTTCGCTCGGGCAGAAAACCCGGAAGCTCCGGTCCCTTGACCACCTTTCCGAAAGACCACTTTTCACGCAACGTTGACCGAGCAGCAACGAGTGGCCCATCAGAGCGAAGTAAGGGAACAGCAGACCAGGAGAGTTCCAGTGGACTGTGATGTCAGTCTGGTTAAGCTTTTTAGTAGTGAGCCAAGCTCGTTGATGGCACGATGGGCCTTGGACGATCCTGAGAAAAAGGGGGACATGGGATGTCGTCGTGTGAGGCTGCCCTGGTGGCTTGGTCGAAGTGGAATTGGAGAAGAGTGTCGATTCACTGAATGTTGTCTAGGGACTCTGGGCAGGGGACCTGACGGGAAGCGGTCCCAACTCCAGCGGAGCATCAAGCATCATCCTTGCCTAAAGAAGCTTAGCGTAGAGATCTCATCTGTTGCTTGAAGCGTGCTCGCGTGCATTCGGGGCCTTCATTCCAGAAGAGTAGCACTGAGAGGAGCTTGTGGGAAATATGCCCTGACAGATCAAAAGATGAAGTCATATTCGGGCACCTCATCCGAGTTCGGGAATTTGTGCAAACCGCACAGTAGAAGGGCGGTATCAGATGGCAGTACAGGGAAGAGAGATGCCGTGGATGTGTTTCTTTTATCAAACGGGCGGAACATCAAATGCCCCACTATCGAGACTCTGGTGGGCACCCACAGTGCTGGGACTGGACCTCCTCCCTCGCCATCCAATTCCCCAATTCCAACGAGCCCAAGCAGGCGGATCAAGCGAAAAGAAGGGACGGACAAGCGGGTTTGACGGGAACTCCAGGGCTTCGGTCATAAGTTAGGACATCATTCCAAGAGCCTTGCAAATCCTTCCAGGGCATCCCACCTCGTTGGTTACGAGATTGCGAGCGGAATGGCGAATGGCGATGCGCTAGTGTAAAAGACCGTGGAATTCAGGAGTCGCGGACATTCATTTGGCTAGCTCGATACTTTCAACGCACAGCGCGGTGGAATTGGTGGAATCGGTGGAAGCTGTGGAATGCCTGTGGAATTCGTGGGGATCCATCTCGTCAATTTCCCTCCTGAGTCCGGGCAAATCTACAGACCACCCCAAGCCGGCCGGAAACCAACCAAAACGAGAGCCAGATTCAACTAGTCAGGAACACTTCACACTACCATCGTACGCCTGTCTTCTTTTTTTCCTTTTTTCCCGTTTTCAGGACATATCCTCGAGCACCTGCCCCTTTGCCTGTCTATCTTTTGTAACACCACGTTGCCAGTGCTGACAGCATCATTCTATCCTCCATCCAGCCAGCCATCATCAACACTGCGCTTCAAGTCAAGCATCTTCACAGTGTGCGCGCACCACTCAGGAGTACTGCCAAGTTTTAGTAAGCAACGTACCTCAACCTGCCCAGGTACCTTTGTACAGGTAGCTTCCCTTCACAGTCGCAGCCGAGCACATCGTAGCTCCGTAATTACGTCTTCGACTCGACGGTCACCCTTCGGATTCGAGTACTTGTCCGTCTATCATCCGAACAGCTACACTAACCACCATTGTCCGTACAGCACGATAGCCAGCACGGCAGACAGCAAGCACCGTAACACCACGACTCCGAATCTCCATTATCTGGACTACCTCTACGGCCAGCGGCACGACCGGGCGCATTCCATACTCGACACTCGATAGTCAACGAACCCAAACCCGATTCCGTACCGTTCGAATATGGCATGCTTCACCAACACATTGCGCGACTGAGAAAGAATCCTAGGCCGGCTACGCGCCTGGCGCCGTATCGACAATGGCACTGCTTAATCCGACATTCATTTTCGGCATCTTCGTCCTCCTCTACCTATCCTCCTTCATAATATTCGCCGTTGTTCGCATCCTTACCGGCCTGTCGATCCAGCGCATCGGCTACTTCTCCCTCCGACGACTTGCCTATACACCAAAAGATGGCATCAAGATCGAGATCCGTGGCCTGGGCCTCAATGTCCATCGCCCAACTTTTTCCCAACCGACATGGCTCAGTATAGTAGTGGACGAGCTGGCCGTCACCGTGGATGTCAAGGAGGTGGAAAAGAGCAAGGGCAAGCATGTTACAGCAAAGCCAGAGAGCAACACTTCCGACAGTACGAAGCAGGGAGAAAAGGGGGAGACGGAACCGCTGCTTTCAACACCGCCAAAGGTGCCCGCCATCAAAACCGATACGAGTCTAGAGAGTCGGGGCAAGACTTGGAGACAGTTGACAAAGTTAAAGGAGAAGATTAAGCGGCTGCATCGGAGCCTGGACTATCTCCGCATGGTCGATATCGTCGCCACAAGCTCGACCCTTACTGTTACAGATGTCGGCAGCGTACAGATTGGCAACTTTACCCTCGCCGTGGACACCCGAGACAAAATGGTAGACCGCGCCCGGTTCTTCCTACAGAGCAGGTCGGATCAGCCCGGAGAACAACGACAGGCCGAGTGGATCATAACCCTACGAAGCGTACTATTTACCGCCCATGGACGGGAGGCTACCGAAATCCTCGACGGCGCCAGTTTCAACGTTCATGGTTTTCTATATGGAATGCACAACGGGCTCCGAGATGCCGCTGTAGGTCTCAAGCTGGGCCGGCTTCATATTCCCTATGACGATGTCCTGTACAGCGCCTTGCTTTATAAGAAGATCAAGGAATTTGCCGAACAGGTCGTCGGGGTCGAACCCGAACCACTTGATGAGTTTGTCGACAAGGTCATGCAGGAAATCGATGTCCCAGGAAGCACGAACAAAGAGTTGATGCAGACCGTCTCTGATTCAAAGCAGCTCATAAGCTCCGTCCTCAGGGGCGTAAAGGAGGTCCAGTTTGCCGTCAGTTTCATCGGCCTCACCAAGAAGGTCGAGAGTGTCAAGGCTGGTGGAACGCCTGTGGTGCTGAATGCTTCTATGAAAGAAGTTGGTATCGACCTCCATCGCCTCGATCCCAAGTCTCCGGCTCATAGGATGTACTTCCCCTCCAAGGACATTGCCCACGAGGCGTTGGCTGCCGCGCTCTCTATCTCAGTTGGCATTGACGACGGGCAAGGGAAACCGGAGAGACTCATGTATATCCCAATGGCCACCACTACTGTCAGAACCACCCTGCCTTCCAAGACTGTCGAGCTAGCCGAGGAGGGAACTGCTGAAGAGCGAAATGCAAACATGCTTTTTGCGAATTCCGTTGTAACATCTCCCTCTGTCGACCTCAACCCTAGACATCTTCCGTTGCTTCTGGCAATACTGCGGCCGAAGCCAAAGAGGAAGACAGAGAACCGGCAACCGCACATGCTCATCTCACGACTTCTGCCCAAGGCCAACATCAAATTTTCGATGCACGAACCTGTTTTGCGCATAACCCTGCCTCCAGTCGAAAAAGGTGTTGGCCCTGACGAGTTTGACCTCCTAATCTCGTCCATTTCATCAGTGTCTTTGGATCTTGAGTCCTTCCATTCCGCAGTTGAGGAGCTACACTATTCATTAGCTGCTAGTATGCGCATTCAGACACACAACCTATACTACCAAACATGTTCTGGTGAGAGATTCGACCTCCTCATAACAGAAGCGTTCGACTTGAAAGTCCAGCTTAACGCCACGCCTGATGTCCACGTGGTTGCCCAGGGTAATCTCCAAACATTCGCACTGAAGCTGGTCCGCGAAGAGATTGGCGACGGCTTGCGTCACATTGTGAGACAGCTTCGCCCAGATGTCAAGCCGGACAAGTTGGCCATGCCGAAGAGCTCGTCCAAGAAGTCGAACTTCCTTCGTGGCATGCCCGCATGGCTGCTTCAGTTCCAATTTCAATGCTCGGATTTTAGCCTGGCAGTAGCTGGGGTCGATAAAGAAATTTCAGAAGAGGCCCGGGGTGTCGCCATCGACCTGGAATCTTGGTCGATAGACTACCGTGCCCAGAGAATAGATGGCCTGCAGAGACGGTCCTCTAGGCGGCGAGCAAGCAGTCGCAGCTTGATACCCTCCGAAGCAGAGCTGATGAGATCGGCACCTACTTCCCCCAGGAAGAAACACCGCCACGAAGGAGACGGTCGGCGCGTTACGGTTCAAGTGAGGGGCTTGGAAGCGTATATGGTTGAATCAGATGAGATCGGGAATGATGCTTTCCTCAACATGCCCAAGCTCGACCTCGCGTTCTCAACATTGAGCGATAACCAAGGCCCGATCTTCCATGTCCAGGCTAACATGAAGAAGCTCCTTGTTCAGTATTCTCTATATCGCCATTACGCAGTCGCTTTGGCTGTCTCGGTTCTGCTGAAAGCGTTTGGAAGGCCTGGAAAGCCCACAGCGGCAGAACCGTCAACTCCCACAGAAGCATCACCCCAACGACGGGTCGTAGGTCTCCTTTCTCCCCTGTCGGCCGGCAGCGGACTCGATTCTCTCACAATGGACGACGAATCAACAACAGCCCGAGAGTTTGTTACCATTGATGCCAAGGTAACATTAATCCAGATCAAGGGGGACATGCCTTCAGACCCCCCGGTGATGGTCCACATCTACGCGTTGGAAGCGGGCCGCCAGCGATGGTCTGCCCCTTTCTGTCAAGCGAAGCTTATCAGGTTGTATGCCGAGGCTCCCAGGATGCGCAAGGTTTGGGCTAGGGTCATCAGCATTAAGAACGGACGGGTGGACTATCGGGAGTCGAGACGGAAGTTCAGCAACGGAAGCGTGCACGATGAGCGTATGATCGACATTGCTACGGAAACAGTCCGGGTGGCTGTTCCACATGAAATGACCGGTCACAAAATCACGGACAACGTTGTCAATGTGCTCAAATCCGCCAAGCAACTTCATCATCGGTTCAAGACCGGCACCAATGAGTACATCCTCGACAAGGGACCCGAAGGTCCGAAAACTGTTCCCAAGGTATCCATAAGGGCTCGTACCTTGTTGTTTGACTTGGAAGATGGTGCTTTCGAGTGGAAACTCGGTATGATCTACCGTGCGGCTCGTGTTGAGCAGAAACAACGCCAGGCGCGGGAGGAAGCTTTCCGTATCAAGGTCAAGAAAATCCACGAAGAGGCTACACGCGATTCGAGCAAGCTGCGGACGCGGTCTGCTGCACCAAGAGGACGAGCTTCTCCGGGAGGCGGTGCCCATGCCAGGAGTCACAGTACTGATAGTCGTCAACAACCAGGTACTGACCCTCATTTCAGGGGACGTGTGCCGAGGTATGATCCAGATGGAGGGCGATTGAACATTACCGGCAACACGGACATCTCTATCGCGCAGGCGAAGCACAATCTTCACCTTCATAATGCAAGGAGTTGGAAACGGCGTATCGACCGACAGTATGCTGCTGCCAGGAACGAGGTGAAGGACATGCAGCAGGATTACTGGGCCGGCGACGAGACCATCCCGGACGATTTGGACGAGGGCGAGAACATACTGGAGGTCCCCTTGCGGCATGCTCTTATGTCCGCTGTTGTCGACGACCTTCACCTCGTGGTCGACAAGCCGTCTTTCCCCCTGAAAGGCATTCCTGACTTCCTTCATAAGGTCGGGAAGGGTATGCCAAAAGACATGGAATACACACTGCTCGTCCCCCTTAGCGTGCAGATTAGCATGGGAGAGGCAAGGGTGTCTCTCCGCGACTACCCTCTACCCTTCATCCATATTCCAGCCACCAAGTCGAATCAGTCTGCCCGCCTACCAGCCCTGACACTCAAAACGGACTTTGTGATTGCCGAAGAGTTCCGAGGCATCGAATCCACTCGAAAAATCAGGGTTCAGGTGATACCACCGCAAAGCCACGACTCGTCTGCGCCCAATAAAGGTAGCTTCGCAATCGACGTCAACAGGACTATCGGGCCCGTCAAGATGTTCTCAGACATGCATATCGATATCCACACCGCCAACCCGACTCGCATCACCTGGGGACCTTCCTACCAGCCTGCAGTTCAAGATATGATGATGGCTATTGAGTCTCTAACCAAGCCACAACTCGATCCTTCCGAGAGGGTAGGCTTCTGGGACAAGATCAGGCTCAATTTCCATTCCCGCCTCCGCGTCACTTGGAGGGGAGACGGCGACGTCCACCTCGCGCTCAAGGGAAGCAGGGATCCTTATGAAGTCACAGGCGATGGTGCTGGTTTCCTGATGTGCTGGCGCAGTGACGTACGGTTCAATATTAACGCTCACGACGACCCCAAAAGTTTCATGACCGTCGACAGCGGAGAGTATGTCCTTGCAATTCCAGACTATAGCCATCAAGTCCGCGAAGGTCGTCGTCGTCGCGGAGAAAACGAAAGCATCGCGAGCGAGAGCAGCCATAAATCTACCGCGTCCTTCAAGAAGGTGGTCATGAAACTTTCAGGGAAGGTCCAGTGGCTAGCCGGTCTTGTCTTTGAACAGGCCATTGAAAACGGCAAGAGGAACTTCGAATTTAAGCCTCATTACGAGGTTGTCCTGAAATCACCGCAGTACGCCAAGCCGCAAAACGGTCTTCCTTACGACGCTTTCCGTGGATTCCGCAGCCAGCATATCCATCTTTCAGTTGCGATCCGCGCGCCGGTCGATCGAGAATGGACGGCATCCAACCCTCCGCCATCACGCAGCTATAATGCTGTTCACCTTACGCCGCGTTTCTTTACCCACTTCTTCTCTTGGTTGGCCTTGTTTTCGGGCCCGCTCTCTCTTCCTGTTCGTCAAGGCCCCCTTTGGCCCAACAGGGAGAAGAACAGTAAAAAGTTTGGCAGACACTTGGCCACTATCAAGTATAACATCATGTTTGCGCCTCTGTTCTTGAGTCACATCTACAAGCACAAGGATGTCGAAGACTATTCCGAGAATGCGGTCTCGGCAACGGGTATCAAGGTTCGACTTGATAGCTTCATGCTCGATCTGCACCAGCGGCGAGAGGAGTTCAACACTAGAGACCGCGGACGCGGGACGCAGACAAGGATAAGCAGCATGAAGCTTCACGCAGGTCAACTAGATCTGGTCTCTGCGGATATTCGTGCTGTCTCCGCTAGTATCCGGGGCACGACCGCTGATGCCTTCCTAAAGCACTCGCTTTCGACCTTCGTCACCGACCAGGAGGAAGATGGTACAGACTTGTCTCGATTTACCATTCCTGATAATGACCTGACGTGGATCGATATGGATGACTTTGTTGAGCTCGACTGGATCTTGCCCACAGAACCAAACCCGGACACGAAAATTCTCCCGCTCGCTTTCGCACCTCGCATCACCTATTTCCGCCAGACAGATATCGGCGGTGTCATTGACGGCGATCCGGACCGGAGCAGCCCCTTCGGACAGGAGCCAACCCATTCGTGCATCATGAGCCAAGATGATGATCCTAGAAGGATACAGGCTCAGTTGATCCGCCAACGGTTGAAGCAACTGGATAAACAAATGGAGACGCACAACCGCAACCTGGGTGAAATCGAACTTCGTCTGGTTCGTGACGAGGATCCGGACCTGAAGGCTGACTTTGAGGCCTTAACCAGACACACAACTGTGTTAGCTGAGAAGAAGGTTTTCCTGGAGGGAATGCTAAGGGAAATGACGCAAACATCGCACTGTCATACTGGGAGTGAAGACTCGTCATCTTTCTCCTCGGCAAAGTCAGAAGCACGAAAGTCGAAAGCGGACATCAGGGGCTCGATGTCAACTCCCACAGAAGCAGAGTTTGCGAGCGATTTCAAGAACCGTTTCGTCGTCCACAACTTACAATTGAAGTGGAACAACACCCTACGAAACATCATCCTCCGCTATATCCATCAGGTTGGCCAAAGACGAGGGTTCGTCTACTACATGTCGCGGCCGGCGGTCAAGTTTATCCTGGACATCGTCGGGGAACAGAACAAGAACAAAGCGGCAAAAGAAAGCAACTCGACTCCGTCAGCTAGTAGCCCCAATGCCAACGGTGCAGAGAGGGAAACCCAGGCAGACATTGAGGATAGGATTCGCAAAATCTTGGAGGACGGCAAGAAATTCGCCAGTGCCGAGGATGCAGGACCCGGGAATCCATCCATGGCCGACCTCGCCAGTGGTATTGCCAAAGAGTACATGGCCCAAAGTAGCTACCATATTCGTGTCATTGCGCCACAGATTCAGTTGCAAAGCGACAAGAACAAGAAACACGTGGTACTCATTGCCGCTAAAGGCATGGAGCTCAAGGTTGTCGACGTGATGGACCAGAGCAGACTGTTTGATACGGTCAGTGGTCTCGTTCAGCGACGTTTCCTCGTCAACATGGACAGTACGCAGTTCTTCGTCACCCATCAGAAGTGGTTTTCGACACAGCTGGTGTCCATGTACTCGGGAAATACCTACGGGACTCCCGCTGGGTCTTCGTGGCCGCCTTGGGTTCCTATGGAGGTCATGTTTGACTTTGAAGCAGATCCGTTTGGTTTCAAACGGGTTGTCAAGAAGACATCTGCTATGTTGCGATACGACAAGTACAACACGCTGCGCTTGAAGTATAACGATGAAGTGAACGCCAGCGAAGCAACCGACAATGACGAAGAGGCCGCCGCAGACAACACGGAGTCCAGAATGGATAACCTCTGGATCGAATTCCCCCAGGCTCACGCATTGTGCAACTCATCTCAATACTATGCATTCTACGTCATCGTAGTGGATTTGTTGATGTACAGCGAGCCTTTGGAGAAGACGCGCAGCGAGAGGCTCGAGAAGATCATGCTTGCTTCCGACTTCAGCGATCTCAGAGGAGCCCCTGAAATGGTAATCAAACTTCAAGAGCGTGTCCGGCAACTGGAAGACATCAAAACCCACTTCCAGACCCATGGTAAGTACATGGATAAGAGAGGGTGGAAAGATCGACTGGTGCTGGAACGTGATTTGGCCGCCTGCGAGGATGAACTTTTCTTCATGATGAAGGCCATCACATCGTCTCAACGCAAGTACGACAGCTCAACAAGCAGCGCACTCCTGAAGTGGAGCATCACGGCAAAGGAGATCGTCTGGCACCTCATCCGGGACACTAGCGAGCCGCTTGTCGAACTCCAGCTCAAGAATGTCGAGTACGACCGTACCGACAATTCGGACGGCTCGCACGTCAACCTGATACAGGTTGGGAGCATACTTGGTCTCAACCTTCTCCCTGACGCAATATACCCTGTGATGGTTGCACCGTACGTTGATGGTAACCGTGGTGGGTTTGACCCAACCTCTCAGCCCATGATTCGGGTGTACTTCCATATGCTTGAGGCCATCGCCGGTATTCCTGTCATGGACCACTTCGAGGTCAATCTGTTCCCGCTCAAGATTCAGCTTGAGAGGGAGGTGGGCAAGAAGTTGTTCGAATACGTCTTCCCCGGTATCGACGGTGACGAGGCGACTTCTGCCAAGAACACTTCTCCTTTCATCATCAAGCAAACCCTGCCGGAAGATGACGAGGATGCGGACGATGATGGGTCTCTCGAAACCGTTGGAATAGCGGACAGCGACAGGGAGGCGGGAGGTTTCTCAACACGGCCGGGCTCTCTCGAGCTGCGCCTGCGCCCTACATTGACGTCTGATCCAGAAGCTACGCCCACCAAGAACAACAAGGCCTTGAGCATTCACACTGGAGAAGGAAGTTCCTTCAGACTCTTCCGGTCTGTCGGTACCGGGTTCAAGACGGTGTCTAAGAAACCATCGTCTGAAGAATCTTCTCTCCGTCCCAGCACCCCACGGCCCGGCATCGGCAGGACATCCACGGGTTTGTCATCCAAGGATAGCTCCAACCCGGAGACGAAGAAGGGAACTCGCTTCATGTTGCGCAAGACGGCCACAGACCTGGAGAAGAGAAAGAAGTCGGACGATCTGACCAAGATGATTGACCGTGCGTCCAACTACATGACGTTTGCCTACATCAAGATGCCATCGGTGGTACTCTGCCTGAGCTACAAGGGCAAGGGTGACCGTAACCTGGAGGACGTACACAACTTTGTGTTCAGGCTGCCCATCATCGAATACCAGAACAAGACGTGGTCCAACCTCGACCTCGCCCTCAACCTCAAGAACCGCATCATCAAGGCCCTCATCAGCCACACGGGCGCCATCATCGGCAACAAGTTCTCCAAACACCGGCCCAACACCGCACAACAATCCAAGCTTCGTGAACTTGCCACAAGCTCAGTGTTGCTAGCCACTCCGATGCTGTCAGAGTCGCGAGACAACAGCGGTGATGACTCCTCTTCAATCTACAACGCCTCTATCGTGGACTTTTCTCGCTCCCCGCCACGGTCCATTGCGCGGTCGCAAACAGTGTCTGTGGTTCCCAGCGCCGAAAGCCGCAGCTCTAGCATTGCTTCCTCGCAGCGATCGCCACTTGTGCCGCAGACCACCGCCACCGCCACCACCGGAACCAGCAGTAGTGCCCAGTCGATTGCATCTGGGCCACCAGCCGTCGGCTTCACCATGACCCCGCCGACACCCATTATGCCGCCGGGTATGGATGGCAGCCAACCACACCGGGGTGCATTCAGCTTGCTCCGGCCCGCAACCAGTGCCGGGTCAAGACTGTTCGGTAGCAGTGGTGCAGGGGCATCTGCTCCCGCGTCGATCGGAGCAGACGGCGAGACCATCTCCCGACCTGGCACCAGCAGCGGCGTATCGATGCTGCGCCAGTCCAACACGGTGCTGAGAGACGACAGGGAGAGCCCCGAGGCGACGCAGAGGAAGGCGGGGTACTTGAGGGATAAACTCAGTGCCATCTCGAGCAGAATCAAAGACCGTGGTCATCAATCACAGCCTGGTCCGGGTCCCACTTCGGCTCCTCGCAATCCATTCTCGAACGGCGACCGGGCTGGTGGTGCTCTTCAGGAGGTCGCAGAAGAACAAGAAGCTCCTGAGCGTAGTGAAGATAATCTAGAGAATAGGAGGCCGGTCACTGCACATGCTGCTGTGGGACCTACTAGCTCTAGTGAAGCCCTTGGCGGCGGCGGCGGGCCAGGTAGGCCGGATATTGTTGGGCATAGGCTCAGTAGGAGCTTTAGTGCGAGAGTGAACTCCTAAGCGGAGTGAGTGACGCTTCATTCAGGAGGGAGAGAGTGAGTGGGTGGGTGTCACCAAAACAGTGCTTTTTATTCGGTTTAATCATTTAGCTCGTCTACTTCTCGTCATCTTGTCATCATCGTCTTGAATTACGCTTTTATTATTTTTTCCTTTCTTCTTTTTTTTTCATTGTACTACTCGCACTGGGGTGTGAGAGGACAGCAACATTGTTTCTGGAATTGGCGAGCATGGCGACTGACTGTCTTGGTACAATGTAGTTGCAGTCAGTAGGATAAAGGGTTGAGGGGGAAACTGATGACAATAGAGGTTAGACACGTTAGGTTATTGCGAGGGGACTTGTACATAGACACGGCGGGCCGGGAGAGAAAGAGGCCGCGGGACTCAAAATATCTGGCGCTGGACTTGAGGTGTGCTTTGGAAGCTGAGCGGGACGGATAGCACACCTTGGATACCTCTACAGAACCGTGGAGCATACACGTATATAAGGTAGTAATATTTGGTAATTTAACAGCATGACATTCAAGGCGGCGTGGGAGTGCCGTGCAGCAGTGGAGGGATTGGTGAACATCATGATGTGCAGAAGTGATGGCCTTGAAGTGGCGGACCGTTTTACACACAGCTCAGCTGCAGTAATTGCAGTGTTTCGAGTCCAAGGCAGTCATCGAAGACTCAACTCGGAACTAGAGGCGGCGGTTACAATGAACCTGCAGTGAAGCGAGTGACATGTACACCGGCGGGACCTCTGTTAGAAGGGGTAGTAGAGCGATGAAATTTCACATGCTGGAGACTGAGCCTCGCCAACAGAGGTACATTGACTGCAGTACCGTGGTCTTTCATAGGCGGGTGGGTGGGTCTTCACGATCGTTCCTTCCTTGTTAACGATCGTTATGTCACACCCGCCCTCTGATCAGGAAAGAACGTGCCTTACTTCAGGTGCCTTATGCAAGCATCCGAACTGCCTAGCGGTACACTAGAGGTAGGTACGACCCACCATTGTGAGCAAAAAGCTGGTACGGGTGGAATCTAGCCTAGAGGGGGTCGTCTGGCCTAGATGGATTGACCGGCTGGCAGTCACTGGGTAGTAGTGCGGATAGGAGACACTTGAGGTTGCGAAACTTTAGTGAGGTTAACGTATTCCCAGACAGGCACTCAGCTTCAGATCGTACATGTAGAGGTAGTGTAGGTACCTACACGTATGAGCACCTCGGCGTGTTACCATGAAGGAGTGCCGACCTCGATGCCGGTCTTCAGTGAAATGTGGAAGGAGGGACTAGAGCTCCGTTGCAGGCAGGCCGGAATGTGAACTCAATGAGCGCTCGATGGCATAAATTCGAGCAGTGAGCGATTCTTGGCCTTTCTTTGCATTCAATGAGTGAGTGTCGGAATGCCTCACTTCACGGTAGTATTGGTCTGTTCTAGCCCTCAGCCTGCTCACCTGCCTGAATCAACCCAGGTTACTCTATGATGGTACCCAGCTCACTTGATTGCGTAAGAGGTGCCTTGCTCTTCCTTTCTGTTGCAGCCTCGGACTAGATTCAGCATTCTTCACGACACTCATCCTTATCAGCGCAGCTGAAACCGGTACGATGCCACTGTCACCCGCTGCAGATCTTGTATCCCAATGTTCGTAATTCCAGTTTAGCACATGTGCTGCCAGCCCGATGCTTCGGCTGGACTGGCAGCTTCACCACCAGCCCTGATTGCAGTGCGAGGCACTGGTGACAGGGACACTACCTTCCTACATATCCACCCTGCTGTCTTAGGCTTGGTTAGATACATACCATGATCGCTGCTCATTGTTTCAGTAGTGGAATACACGAGGTCGGGAACCTCAAGCTCGCGGAATGTTCTCAGTTGGCTTCACCAGCTCCAGTCGTTGAGCTGAGTTTGGACTGAGCGAGCTCCGATAAATTACTAGATTACGATGATGCTTACCTTCCAGTTACCAATCAGGAATGTACTTTCGGCTTTTCATCCAGTTCGCCACAGGTGGGTGTCTGGTATCTTGCTCCCGGCTGCGTCACTACCATACAGTTCGTTCTCCAGTCTCCGAATCAGAACGAGGTCCGCCACAAGCGAGTAAGGTACCGAAAGGTAGGTGAGGGCACCACTCAGTAACACTGTATTCTAGATCCTCTTTCGCCTTGTTTTTCCTTCAGTAGTCCTTTTGATTTCCAGCTGTTTGGTTACAATACTAGGTACCACAAGATATCTTACTGACTGACAGGTAGTACCCAAGACACCGAGAAGGTCCTAGGATGCCGGGCTTCACGTCTAACAGATCTAACTTACCATTCGTGCGCTTGTACAGCTAACTGTACACCAAACCACAGGTTCGTATCAAGTCCCAAGTCCCGTCGTCGTGTTGGTATAACCGGAAGATACCTTATCATTTGAGTCATGTATTGCCGTCCAGTCTTTCTAATTTTTCCTTTTCATTACTTCCATCCTTCCATGATTCCATCGGCCATTTAGGTCCCGTCGTCCGTTCGTTGGTTCGTTCACTGATAGCAAGCGGCTCAATCAGTCTCACATAAGTACTACCGCTTTTACTTAACCTGCGTTAAGATCCTGGCAAGCCACGCCTGACATGCAATTTGACCAATCTGCGAGTGAGTTGGTGCGGGTCGCGGGTTTCCTTATTGGTTGAGTAAACCATATCGACTGAGTAAAAGCGGTATGCGTGCCGAACGTTGTGTCACCGTCAACTTTCTTCCCTACATATTCTGGAAGCTGTTGCGAGGTAAGTTCGGCTGGGGAAGCGAGCCGCTGTTACAACCGGTAGAGACTGCAGCAGATGACAGTGACTCAGCTTCAACTCTAGGAGGACGCCAAGCTCGTTATCTTGTAAGATGGACTGAGAATGACCGCTTCCTTCCGAGGCTTGAAGGATCCGTGTCCGATGTCGGTCAACAGCTGAGTAGAAGGGTGTGATGTTCTCGGCAGATGAGACATTACCCGGAAAATTGGTACTGCCGAAGAAAAAAAGAAGATTCCAGTTTACTCGGTTGTGGATGAGACGAGAGGTCAATTAGACACAGGGCCTCTCTAGACAAACGCTAACGCTCTATCGATGTTATCAAAGCCAGCGCATAACTCCATATGAATCTCCCTGAAACCTTATAAGCGAGAGTCTCAAAGCTACCATGACCTTTTCTTCCATTCTGGAAGCAGCCTTCTTTTTCATAAACCCATATCAACCCTTTTTTTTGCGCCAAAAACCATTATAATATGTTGGTGTGATGAACTAGGATGATTATTTTTCTTTGTAGAGCACCCAAAGATTTACTCCTTGTTGATGCTTCCCATTCTCCTTGACATGCTACGGAAATTGTTAGTATCATAATCGGTGTTTGAGAAAAGGTGTGGGTAAACTTACAAATCATAGAAAGCAAACTGGCTGGGCGAGCTACCAAACTCGTAGACAAAGCGACTGGCGAGGTAGCTGCCGAAGATGGCCCTCAGATACGAATCCGGAACGCGCTCGATGATGGTATCGAGGCCGACCTTGTTGATGAGAAGATTGGGCAAGGCATCGGCAAGGACGGACCTGCGGATCTTCTCGTTGTCCCAGAGCTCAGAGCGCTGGAGGTCCTCGTCAAGAGAGGTGATGGCCAACGACAGCTTGTCAGAGAGAACAGAGCGAGAAAGGCCTGTCTGCTCGTGTTCGCGCCAGATGGCCTCAAACTCGAGGCGGGCGTTCTCCTGGATCTTGTGCTGTACTTCCTTGACGTAGGCCTTGTAGAACTCGGGCGCATTGCCGCGGGAATCATGGCACATGTGGGTAACGAAGCTCTTGTCGTCAAAGCTGAGGGAGGCAAGGACCTCGAGCGATGAGCTGGTTACACCACCCTTGTTGGCGCTGGCATCCTTGTAGACGACGCAGCCGGCTTCTTCGAGTCTGAGCTTGGCATCCTGAGTGATGAAAAGGTTGGCACCCTCCACGATATAAGGGATGGTAGACTTGCCATCCTTGATGAGCTTGGTCACTGAGGAGAGGTCGATCGACTCGGGACGGCCACCGCAAGGCACGAACATGTCAGTGATACCAGTGTCACGGAGATGGTATGTGTTGCGGAAAGCAGTGCCGTTGTGCACCACCTCTCCGTTGGGGAGCGTGATGTTGGTATCGTCGCAAAGCACGCGGTAACCATCCTTGGAAAGCTTGGAGATGTCGAAGTTGGAAATCATGGCACGAGCCTTGGCAAGGCGGCGCAACTCCTCCTTGTCAATGCCGTTAGGGTCACAGAGAACGCCCGATCCATCGACAATAGCAGTGTATGTCTCATTGCTGAGCAGAATCTCGTTGCTGCCAAGGTCACCATCGGGACCACCAGTCTGCATCTTCCTGATCTTGGAGGGATCAAGCTCAAGCTTGCGGTAGATACCCTTGACGTACTCGCGGACCGACAAGGTTGTCATGCCATAGTGATCATGAGGGATACCGCCAAGACGAGGCGACTTGCCGGTGAAGAAGGACTTCCACCAAGGAGCGCCGCGAGCCCGGGCATGCTCAGTGGCCCAGTCGACAAGGTCAGCAGTGTTCTCATCCGGTCCCATGAACAGAATCTCCTCCTTGCCATAGAGATCAACAATGGGGTTCTTGATGCCAGGTGTCTCGGCCTTCAGAAGAAGGTCAAGGATACTATCAATGTACTTCTCAAAGGCCTCGCGGTGCCTGTCTTGCTGCTTGGGGTCCAGGAGAATGACACCCTTGGATCCGCCCTCTGGAATATCCTTGTTCTTGCGCTGCTGGGTGCTAGCAAGACCGTAGTTCTCATCAAAGAGGTTGCGGGCATTGATCTGGTAGGCCTCCTTGCTGCGAGACTTGACGATACGGATACCGCCACGTGCAATGTCCTTGAAGCGGAGGTGGAAGCCACGCGACTCTGAAGTGATGACGAGGAACATGCCGTACAGTGGCTTAGGATACTCGACTTCCGGAAGGAACGAGGGGTTAAGACGGAAGCTCAGAGCCACCTTGGTGGGGGTGAAGAAGT